TGAGGGGATAATTTTGAGAATTGCTCAGGCGAATACAAGAAGTTTGCTTAAAACTCCGACTTCGTTGGGCTACAGGGATCTTCAAACGGGCGGGTTTGGGGTTCTCTTCGGTATCCCTAAGATTCTTTGAAGGAAGCAGAAACAATATTTCCACTGTAGCACAGGTCTCCCACCTTACAAGTCCACAGGCCCTAGAGCCCTAGAGCCTGATAGAATATTAGGGTTATATTGGGGTTATATAGGCATAATGGAAAAGAAAATGGAAACTACTCTAATGGGGTATATAGGGATATATAGGGTTAAACTCCTTAAAGCCCTTAGCCTTAAGCTCCAAGCCTCCAACCCGAAACCTTAAACCTTAAAACCCAGGCCCAAGCCCTAAATCCAAAGAAGCCATAGCCCAACATGAGCTATAGTCTAAACTCCTTAAAGGGGGGATATATAGGGGATTATATAGGGGACTACTATAGTGGTTATTAAGGGGGAGACTAGGAGTTTAGACAATGGCTCACATGAGGAGTGTGATGCCGATGAATGTGGGGACGAGCGTCGACCTCCAGCGGAGGGTGTGGACTGCTTAGGCACCTGCACGGCAGGGTTATAGTCCCCCTTAAGTAGATAGAGTATGGAGTATATGGGGATCTTGTTATAATATACTCAGAGCCATATTCTATGTACTTTAGGGGGACTATATCTTTGCTGGTGGTTAAGGGGGGTGGGTTTGAGAGGCTTAGGGTTTACAGGCACGTAGTGTTTAGTATTCAATCTTTAGGGTTTGAGGTTTAGGGCTTGAAGATAGTTAGCAGAAACAAAAATGGACATTTGAGTCATAATGGTCATCATGTGGTTTGGTTTGGGGGGTGAAGACGAAGACCAGTTGTAGTCCTGATAATAATATCACAGGACTGCCATGGGCCCGCCCTAAAGTGCACCTTCCCGGAAGCAATCCCTAGTAAGTCTGAATAGGCCTTAAAAATCTACGATTATCTCTAATAAGACCTGCTGGTGTCCATGTACTGGACCTAGTAACCCCATTGCACTAGCAGCAAATTTTTGAGTTGTTGGGAACAGAGAGAGTTTAAGGATTCAACTGCCACTGAATCAGGGCGTTGAACTCTAAGTGCATCCCAAACCCTGAAGCCTGAATTTGAAACTGAAACCCAAGCCGTAAAACCTAAACCTAAGGCCGTGAACCCTAACCACATGGGCTCGGAACTGGTCTTTGGTTGCAATGCCTCCTGCTGCGAGTGTAAAGCTGCAGCCAGGCGTGAGTAATGTGTCTGCTCAGCTTTTGCAAACGACAGCCAAGCCATCTTCCTCAAGATGTGTTGCTCTGCCAACCCAGGCTGCTAAACACGAGGCCACATGGTCAAGGGTGTGGGGAGTATGGGAAGAAGTAGTTTCTTTAGTTCAAAGTACCAGCCATGTCTTGCAGCAGATTGCGGGTTCTCCCCAGTGCCTTGCTGTGCAGCGTGCGTTGTTGTCGCGTGTGTCTGACACGACTGCCCTTCGTTACCTTACCACGTGTGTGCAGTTCCTGATAATGGTTCGTGAACTCGGATGGGATCTAGCAAATCTTACTCCTGTCCAGATACTTGATGTTGTCTTCGCACTTCGGTTCGATCCCGACTCCAAGATTCATGCTACGAATGCCATGAAGGCCATTCGTTGGCTGGCAAAGACGATGGCGCTTCCATGGCCTTTGGGTTATGTTCAAGGGTTTTGACGCGTCTCTTGATCGGCAGAGGCAGCGACACGAGAGTTTGCCGCTCCCATTAAGGTTTTCAGTTTTCTTGGAGAGCTTGCTTCGGGATGAGCAGGCGGAGACCGCTACGCGTATTGTGGCCGGTGCCTTCCTAGTCATGGTAGGCGCATCTCTAAGGCTCTCGGACATTATGCATATAAGATGGAATGAACTTAACATGGACAGCTTGGATTTACGGGAAGTTGTGTATCGCACTAAGATGGCTCGCTCGGGGATGCTTGTCGCAGTGGCGGGTGATGTCATGCTGGGTTTTGTTGTTGATTATCAAGGCCGCGCATGTCCCGCCATTCTCCTCATGTTGTTGTTTTCTGTATGGCGGGAGACCCGAGATTGTTTGGGTCTGACTTCGTGCCAGATGTCTTGCTTTTCACTTGGGACGTATCTGCTGCGGAATTCCGACCATCGTCCTGTGTGCAAGCGCTCGAAGTCCTACGTGACTTGTCGGCGCAGCACATGCCGCAATGTGCGGGTGTTGCTAGTTACTATACGTTACACTCATGTAAAGCAACATATTTATCATGCGTGTCACAGTGCAATTTGGGGCGGACGGACCGTCGCCTGCACTATATGCCAGAGACAATATTTTTCGGGGTTTTGCGAGGTGCTTCGGAGAGTCTCGTGTGGCTGGCTTCCTGCCATGCCCATTGCTCGGGGGGGTCGTGACCGAGCCTGTGTCTCTAGCCGGGACGTTGGGCCCCACAGCAACTGTGCAACATGTTTCAATATTTTGGTGCATTCCGGGTTGCAGCTCAGGATGAGGTGTCTGTCTCAGAGCAACCAGAGATTGGAGATTTGGTGCATGTCTGTGTGGTTGGATCCTGTAGCTAAGGGGTCTGGGGTTTCGGATGTTGATGTGACTAGGGCAGTGGTGCCTTCCGTTCCTTGATGATGTGCAGGTTCGGGAACGTGCCCCGTATGAGAGCATCTTTGAATCTGCTTTTGAGGCAGAGGACCATGATGAGCCCCCGGAGCCAGAAGAAGTGCTTTGGATTCGTTCGGGGAAAGGTGTTCTCCATGTGGGCCGCGCGTGCGGATTGCTGTCTAGGGCTGCTTGTGGGTTCTCGTTGTCTATAATGATAAGGGCTCCGGCTGCGTGCTCAACTTTCTGCCGGAGGCGGGGATGCCTGTTGCGCGCAGTTGGAGCAGCTTGCCCTGCGTAGCGGCAGTGCGCGTTAATGGCTTTTGTCTAGGGCTAAGGCCTAGCTTGCAAGGCAAGTAATTTATTTGCTGTCTCGATTGTTCGCGCGCGGGCAAGCAATTATGCGCAGTAATGATGATGTCAGCATACCAGGTCGGGCAGTTGCGTTATAGTCTTGACAGCGAATGCAAAACCTACTTGCGCTTGGTTAAGATGGAAATTGCTTCGGGCTGTGGACCAGTTGTTTGCCCGGGGGGGGGGGGCAATTGCGTAAGGTACGCTTGGTACCAGCGTGTAAATTTGCACTGACAGAGAGTGCAATTTGCGTGCGCTTGGCAATGACTGATATTGCCTCTGCGCTTTTCCAGCATGAGCAATTGCGTAAGTTGCGTGCGCTTGGCAATGACGGATATTACCGCGTGAATTTGCACTGACAGAGAGTGCAATTTGCGTGCGCTTGGCAATGACTGATATTGCCTCTGCCCTTTTCCAGCATGTGCAATTGCGTAAGTTACGCTTGGTGCCAACGTGTGAATCTGCACTGACAGATAGTGCAATTTGCGTGCGCTTGGCAATGACGGATATTACCGCGTTTTGCCAGCATGTGCAATTGCGTAAGTTGCGGTTGGTACCAGCGCCTGAACACTGACTGAAAAAAATCGCAATGTGCGTGCGTTTGGCAATGACAGATATTGCTTTTGCTTTTTGCCCTGAATGGGTATTGGCGTTGTGTACCAATCGGTACCAGCAGCGCATGAATTCTAATAGTGGCGTTAGTAGCGCTTGAAGGGTGTTTCCATGTCAGTGAAAATAGGGGTGCGTGGCAGGTTCGCGTGTGAGTGGCTTGAGCATGGTCAAGTGTCCGTGGCTATGTAGTAATACTGGTGGTGTTCTTGCAGCAGTGATGTGCATTGCATGATGAGTGGATACATGTCTAGCATGAAGCTTTGGTGTTCAAGCAGACAGTGTGTGATTATGTCAGTAATGACGTGTGCCATGTGTACTCGACGTAGTTTTGAAACAGTTGTGTTGCAACATGAGAGCAACGAGCAGTAGTTACATCTTGTGGAGGTATGTGATTCGTGTGTGCGTAGTGTGTTGGCTTAGGTTCGTGTTGCGCAACAGTGGAGCAGCATGCCGATGATTTGTGTTTTACCCCCAAGCCTGCGATCTTGGCCTGGCTACAGGATCATTCGATCCCTGAGGAGATGCATGATGCCTTCACTGCTTTTACGCGTGAGGAGTTCGGAATGGTTGGGACTAGTCTGGAGTCATTGGACACATGGATGGACAACCTGTCGCGGCCAGTGGAGGCCAACCCGGTTGTGCGGAAGGCACGTGTGCGGCTGGCTGCTGTGGCAGGCGTGCTTGTGCCTAACGCATAGCCCTGTCAAGGAAACCCCGTGTGTCCCAATCGAGCGGGCTGAGCCTACTGCCGCTGCTGTGGATGAGGGTTGGGTCGAAACATTCCCCAAGAAGCTTGGTGCGGCCTTAGTCAAATGCATGGTGCAGAAGTTTAAGGCTAGGTACGCGTCCGAATCAACTTGATGTCATGCCGAGCGCCAGACTGCTCGCGCTAGTGGCTAAACAGCTGCAGGATCGCTCCATCAAGTATGTGCCATGGAAATTTCTGGATTCATATACGAGTCTCAGGGTCTTCAGGACCCGGGGCTAAAGGTTTGCGGGGGTGTGAGGTTTGGTGTGAATCAGTGAAGGGTTCGAGGCTCGCCGAAAGTTGTTTCAGACAGCAGGGCATTGAATCTTGCGTTAGTAACTGAAGGTTCTGAAGTTTCAATTTGTTCCTATGGGATTTTGCAGTGCTTCCCCTGACACGCTAGATGTTGGGTAGGCGCAGGATGACGTGCTCGGATTTGCGTACCAACCTTGCACGTGAGCAGATGCCAAAAAGATGAGCCAAATCATACCCATGGCAGCAGAACGCGGTGTGCTAGCAACTGCAAACCTAATCTTGTTTAGACGAAAAAAACGCACGCCATTGCACGTGAATTGTCAACCATGTGCGCATTGGGGCCTATGCAGATGAAAACCAGCTGCCCTTAACCCAGCAAACCTTGAAGTCCATACCCTCCAGCGCAGGTAATGACAAGCGTCCTTACTTGCCTCTGATGCTATTTGGCACGACTCTCTTCGGTTCCATCCACATGCTCATGGCGGCTTTGGCATGCAGTGCTAACAGGGCTTATGGGTTCGAGTTCAGGGATTAGGCTTACTAGTGGTTAATAGGGAATACGGGAATTAAATCCGTGTATAATCCTTATATCACATATTCTCTTATTCCCTATTAACCCCCCCGGTAGAGAGGATGGCGGGGGAGTTTCAGGGGGTGATATGCGGTTCAAGGTTTCACGTACTTTTGCAATTGTCACTCGCGATTATTGCCGTAATTATTGTAGACCATGGAAAATGTATCATCAATGATGGACCTGAAGCATTGTCAAGAGTTTGGTTAAACGCGGCAAAGCACAGGTTGGGGCATGATCCAGCACGTTCAACATGCATCTTGCGCGGCACGTGAACCTCATCCGCGAATATTCCCCTGCGTTCAGAATTTTGCAGGCGCACATCCCTGCACCTCACATTCCCTGCTGCCGGAAGGGATTATGAGAATTCACATGGAAGGCTTCTAGGCCCTAGATCCCGATCCTTTTGCTCCTCCGCCTGGGCCTACAGGCAAGTTTGCAGGACCTCCGCCTGTGTTGTTGGCCTCCGACGAACAAAACTTCCTCCAATAGGGTTCAGGGTTGAAAGTTGAGAGTTTGGGCTTAGGATTACTTATCCCCGGTTTTTGGAGGTCCGTCCACCTTGAGGATTATTTCTTGTTTCCTTCTGAAAGGGACAACACAAGATTAACACACCATATAATCCCATATACTTTCAAAATCTCTCAAACAAGGACCCTTTTCATCCCGAAATAAAACCTACATATTCCTAGGATCCTTGGGCCCCCCTAAGTTCAGGTGATCGCTTCTTTTTGCGGGGATTTTCCAACATCCTTAAAAAACTAAACATTGAAACCTACAAAGGTACCAAGAAACTAAACCCCAAGCCTGCCTAAACCTTATACTCTAAACCTTGTGCCCCCAACCTGCAACCCTAGACCCCAAACCCTAAACTCCGCACCGTATGCCTTAAATGTTAAGCCCTAGAGCTAAAACCCTAAGGTGGAGTTTCCGGTCATCGGCCGGGACTTGCCCTCGGCGTCTCGGCTTCTGGTTTGGGATACTTTCGCACAGACGTTTGGAGGTTTAGGGTTAATATATCGGGATTATGTAGGGGTATAGGGATGATAAAGAAGTCTAGGGATTATGTAGGAGTATAGGAATTGCAAAGGGTTATAATAGGGATCATATAGCCTTGTTGGTTCAGGGATTTTGCAACAATTGCCGGTCCCAAGGATCTACCTATCCCCAAAGGGTACCCATTTTCAGAACACTTGTACGTGCAGAGTGTCCAACATACGGAAACCCTAAACCCTCAAACCCTATACTGTGCCCTAACCAGGGCTTCTTGACCCTAAACCCTAAACTTTAAACCCCGGACGAACTTGCAAGCTTAGCTCCAAGATTCCGTTTCCATCCAATTTCTCCTCTATGATTCCAGACCCTTCTCCTTAAAACTCTTATCTCTGGCTCTGGCAGCCTAGTTTTTCTAAATTTGTTAGAGTTGGGGAAGCTGTGGGAACATGAGCCTGCTGGATGGGAGAGAGGTGCACTTCTTGATTGCAGTTCTCTTCTAGTTCTTACAACATGTGCACATTTCAGGAAACCATGGGGAAGAAACCTAAAGCTCAAGCTCCTCAAGCGTTTAACCGTTGCCTTCATCCCCTAAGCTAGAAGGCCTATGCGATCCGCGGCTACTTCCTCTGCGTCTACGCTGTGACGCTGGGCTGTCAAGTTTCTGGGTTGCTGTTAAGGCAATTTAAGTTACCATAATGTCCCAGACCCCTGGGAGGATCTGAAAATCAGATCCCCCATATAAAGCGATAATAACCCCTATATAATCCCTATATAATTCCCCATAGTCTTCTAGGGGTTCTAATTTTGAGATCCCTTTGGGGGTCTGGGATGGGTATATCGTAAATATTAGGTTTTCCTGATAAGAGAAGCCCTAAACCCTAAATCCTGAACCCTAAACCTGAAGCCCAATACTATACCGTTATTATGGTAACTTAATTAAAGTTCGCTATCAGCAACCCAGGTTTACTGCGTCCTCTGCGACCCTGGCAAGCTCCAGCCCAAGGACAGCTTGAACCGGGTTTAGGGCTGGTGTACAGTTTAGGGTTCACGGGGGTGGAAGGGGGAGATTCAGAGGCTTTGTATGAGCCATAGTCTAAGCTCCTCAAAGAGGGTTATGTAGAAATTTAGGGTTTAGGGTTTAGGCTTCATATGAGGGGGGTTTTATAGGGATAATGGAAAGAACATGAGAACTACTGTATTATAACAGGGTATCTATCAGGGTTATATGAACGTAGTCTAAACTCCTTAATTAAAGGTGTTATAGAGGATTATACACATAGGACTAGTATTGGGGTTAGCACAGGGGAGACAGAGGCTTTATATGGCTTCGGAGAGAGATATATATGTATACATATGGAGATGTATTGTATAGGGTTTGGGTTTCGGGGGCTTGGGGTTCAGGGTTTGGGGCCCAGGCTTTGGAGATTAGGGTTTGGGGATTGGTTTAGGGTTTGCGGTTCCAGGGATGAGGGTTTAGGCTTTGGGTAGCGTAAGTATTTTGCTTTTTTAGGCCGGGCACTTGGGAGGTGTTGCTCAGCGATTTCTGTTTTTGGGCATATTGTATTCTGGAGTATGGGAGAAGGATTTCCAAGGTCATCGGACTGAAGGCAAGGATGTGGGACTGAGGCGGCGCCCCAAATCCGAAGCTGTAATCCCTAGCCCTTGATTCCCAAATCCCCAGCCCCGCTAAACATTATACCTTAAACCTCAAGCCTCAACCCCAAGCTAACCCCAAACACCAAACCTTAAGCCCCAAACGCCAACCCTAAACTCTAAACCCTCAAGCTCAAACCACGAAACCTATAAACCACATCCCACTTTGAAGAAATTAAAACCCTGTATGGTCCCCATACATACCCTACATATCCCTAGAATAGCCCTATTCACACCCTGTTGTATTCCTAGCTACTCCCTCTAATATTGCTACGCATCCCTTCTACTATCCCTATTTACCCCCTATCATACCCTTGGATCATCACTATAAAAAAGACTGAATATTTTCCTGAAGCCCTAAGCCCTGGACCCTAAGCAAAAGGAGCTCGAGGCTTTTGCCCAGGCAAATCCCACAACTGATGGGTCCAAAGCTTTGCCTCGGCGTTGCCACAAGATGTGGCCCTTCTGATATACTGATGATAGGGTTTAGGGTTTAGGGTTTAGGGATGAGGGTTTAGGGATTAGAGTTTAGGGTTCAGGGTTTTGGGGTTAAGGTTCAGGGGTTTAAGGGTTTAGGCTTTAGGGTTTAGGGGTTAGCGTTTGAAGGTATCGTTTGGGATTTTATAGCTGCTTTTCTGAGGGTTATTTACGTAATAATGGAGAAGAGAACGCAAACCACTATGTTATAGTAGGGTATATATTGGGACTGCAGGGGGTCAAATAGTGATAGTCAACCAATAATGGAGAATCAAGTCGAAAAGAGAACGGGAAGCTACGATTTATAGGGTGTAGGGTTCCTATGGGAATTACTCAAAGGTGGGTTTCAATGGGCTTATGAGGGTGTTCATTAGGGAGTATTTTGAACAACTCCCTTGTGTGAGGAGGAGGAGGAGGAGAAGGTGCGGGGGTAGTAGGTTCAGGGTTTATGGCTTGGGGGTTGGAATTTAGGGTTGAGGATTCAGGGAAGCTACTGTTCTGAGGAAGGGGACTGGCGCTTGAGGGCTTTAGAGCTTTTTTCTCGAGGCTTTCAGGGTATATGGGGACATTATTATAGTATACCCAAAGCCATATTCTACCTACTTAAGGGGGACTGTAGGCCTAACCTTGTAAGATTCCAAAGGGATGGAGCCAAACCTCAATCCCAAGGCCGCAGACGCTAGACCTCCACTATACACCTTATCCTTGGTGTGCCCGACTCTGCTTTAGCTAAAGTTTTGGAACGGATTCCGTGGAATGGACGCCTTGAACAATTGCATAAGGAACCCTGGCCTGAGCTCCGATTCTGGAACAACATTCCGAAAGAAAAACAAAAAGCTAAACCCCCCTACCCTAAATCTAAGCCCCCCAAACCCCCGAACACAATCTAAAACCCCAAACCCTAAACCCTAAGCCTAAACCCTTTAAAAGTAGCGCGGCTCAGGTGGCTCTTCAAACAGCCCATCCGGAGGTACGACCACTACTGTCGGTGGCTCACGAATGCGTCTGGGGCATGCTTAGCTGGGTGTGGGTTTACTGTGTGGGGTTTGGGATTTAGGAGGGCTTAAGGGTGCGACATCTGGGTATAGCAGGGATACAGTGGGACCCAAGTACAGTTACCAGTGCCCTTCGTGGCCACTACTAGTGGACGAGAGGTGCCAACTACTGTGTTTAAAGAGGCGTTAAAGGGATCCCCCAAAACAGGGAACCCCAAGAACATAGTAAGAATATAAGAGGAATATACTGAAATTCCTGGTCTGGGGTCGCCATTTTATCCCTAAACCCTAAACCCATTTTACTCCCTTCAGTGTCAGGGAGGAGCAAAAGCTGTTGAGGCCATTGGCCTCCTAAACCACCGGGAGTTTGTGCTCATGCTGAGCCTCCGTCTTTGTTCAACAAGATTTGGCTTGTGAATATGAGATATAGTGGAATACATAGGGGTATATTGGGATTATTTCGGGATATATAGGGATATACAGGGATATGTAAGCTTCAGGGTTGAGGGTTTAGGGTCTAGACTCCTAAAGGAGGGGTATATAGGGGAGTGTATTGGGGACTACTATAGTTACTAGAGGGGCTATTCAGGGGAAGACCAGGAGTTTAGACTATGGCGCATTTTGACCATTGAGGATCAACATAGGGCTTTCCATAAACAGGTGGCTCCAAGACAGATCCCAAAATATTATCACCTTTGTTGAAGGGGCCCCAGACAAGGGACCCCCAGTTCGTGGAAAACCACCCCCCCCAGACCCCCCCCGCCCCGAGACAAAGTTTCATAGTGCACGGCAGGGTGCTGGGTGTTTACCTTTTCATTTAGTGAATTCGCCCGCCCAGTCCCTGTCCACCTGCTACCCTGTCCCCGAAGAACCCAGGATTGGTCTGCTGATCATTGGGGTGGCCGGCTGCCTGGTAGACTTTGTCCTGCTCATCTGGACGTCCAGCGAAGGCCATCACTTCACAGGCTTCCTGCTGATCATGCACCTCACGCGACATGGCTTGAACAGCCTCTTTGTCACAGAACCCATATAGCTAAGTCTGAAACACGTCTTGAAGTTCAGGCTTCGGTGCGTTGGAAAGTCCCACTGTTTTGGAGATCCCCCTACCCCGGCGCCGCTCAGGTGGCACTACTGCTGCTGCCGCTACTGCTGCTTCTGCTCCTCTTCGTCCTCCATCTCCTCCATCTCCTCCTTTTACTTACTGGTGGCTAGTAGGGAATAAGGGAATATAATCCCCACATCATCCCTATCTAAGCCCTATATCATACGTATACAGTCCCCCTTAAGTAGATAGAATATGGCTCTGGGTATATTATAATAAGATCCTCCTATGCCCCATATTCTATCTACTTCAGGGGGACTATATTCCCTTATTCCCCACTAACCCGAAACACTAAACCCCAAACTAAACCCTAAACCCTAAAACCTAAACCCTAAACCCTAAACCCTAAAACCTAAACCCTGAGCCCTAAACTAAACCCTAAACCCTAAAACCTACACCCTAAACCCTGAGCCCTAAACCCTAAACCCTAAACCCTCAGTAATTTCATTTTTGGATTACTTTGCTGCTCATGAGCATCAGCTCGTCAGGCTACACATTGGGTGTTGGAGGGAGGAGTGAATAGGGTTTAGGGTTTAGGTTTTAGGGTTTAGGGTTAAGGGTTTAGGAATCAGGGTTCAGAGAAGGAACGGATGAATGATTGAATGTACAAATGAGCGACCACCACAACGACTGCTCCAGCAGCTACAAGTACAACTACATTTATTTATAGTACCAAATATATATATATATGTAATGGTACGGAAGTCTCAGTATTGGTAACCCCCTAAATAGTAGTTTCCATTTTCTTTTCCATTATTTCTCCATAACCCCTAAAACCTAAACCGTATATGACCCCCTATAGCCCTAAACCGTAAAGCCTAAAGCCTAAAGAACCCCTGGATTGTTGCCGAAGCATCGTTTCAGGTACTCGGTGATCCTCACGCTCCTGGCTGGCCCAATCCTGCGGCTGCACTTGACTTTCGTGTCCAGGATGTTGGGTGGTTGTCAGGGCTCAGGGCATGGTTGGGGGTTTAGGGTTTAGGGCTGTGGCCTCCTTGAGGTCTGCCATAACCCGTCTTCTGGGATAACCTCAGAGTCCATTACATCTTCCATTTTTCATTCAATTCCGCACTGTTGGGCTACAAGCCCTAAACCCTAACCCCCTAAATAATAGTTTCCATTTTTCCACTATCCCTCCATAACCTCTAAGACCTAAACCGTATATGACCTCCCACAGCCCTATAAACCTTATATATCCCTGGAGTGTCCCGACGGGCCGACCCTTTGGAGTGTTTGGCAGCAGGAGTTCTTGCAGCGCCCAGCAGCAGAGTGTCACTACAGTTCCCCACCACAGGGTTTAGCGTTTAGCGTTTAGTGTTTAGGGTTTAGGGTAGAGGGTTTAGGGTTTGGGATTGCATGAAAGGTATTCTGGACGCAACTCCCGCTTGGGCCTGTTCGATGCAAAGTGTTGACAGATTTTTGCACCTAGGGGAGGTATCCCAAGGTCATTGCTGAGGCTGTGAAAGAGCATGCCATTCACCTGGGGTGTAGGGTTTAGGCTTTAGGGTTTGAGGGCTAAGAGTTTAGGGTTTAGGGTTTAGGGCCGCAAAACGGCTGGTAAGAAGGTTCTCCTAGTAGATATGGTGGCTCATGCGCAGGAATGAGCTTGCCAATGAGTACAAGCACAACCTGTTCTACATCATGAGAGATGCGCCGCCTGGCGCAACATGACAGTCTGCAGTCCCTAGACCCTAAGCCCTGAACCCTGCAGGTCTTGGCTTTAGGGCGTTGGGTTAAAGAGTTTCGGGTTTAGGCCTAAACCCCTCAACCTTCAGGGCGTAGGTGACTTACAAGCTGCCCACGAAGTTAGAAGGCCTGGGTCTGATGTTTGGTACAGTCCCTGATATACTCCCTAATAAAGAACCCATATCCATCAACTTATGTAGCACATATTGATTGTAGCTCGTATCACTGTCATACGATCCTCAATTTGGGGATTGAGCTAGACAAGCAGTCCTGACAACATCTACTGGCCTTTGGTTAGCTAGGAATGAAGGAATGCACCCTTATGGTAGTCCCTATATTACCCATTATAGTGATTTCCATTTTCGTTTTCATTCCTTCATTCCCAGCTAACCAAAGGCCCCTATGCGAAGCCGTGTTCTGAGGACTGGAAAACCGATCCCCGTGAACGATTTAGAGGACGAAGAGTTCAACCAAGGCTCTTATGGTTTCGTTTAGGGTTTGGGGTTTGTGGTTTGGGGGAGGGATGGGGCCTTCACCCGAAACCTAAAGGTTCAAGAGTTTAGGATGTAGGGTTGTGAGATCTTGGGTTTGGTGTGCCTGGGATTAGTGTTGTCTTCCTGAAGGGAGCCGCTGTGATGCAGCGCCCTGAAACCACACTATGGATCTCATCCGCCTTGTACTGGGTTGCTGCTAAGGAGCCTTTTTACTATAATAGGGAACCAGCCTGTTTACTATGTACACATTTTATGGTAGCTCAAGTTAAGTTCCTTGACGGCAACGCGTTTTTCTGGGTTTCGTGATTATTGGCTTGAAGGTTCCCGCAGTCTGTGTTTGGGTTTGTCATTTAGGGTTTGGGGCTTATGGTTCAGAGTTTCGGGCTTTCGATTTCGGGTTTCAGGCTTAGGGTTCAGGGTTTAGGGTTCCATGTCGTTTCGGGCTTAGTGGGCTTAGGCTGGGCTGACAGCCAGGGCCGCTTTTTTTTTGGCCTGGGATGACTGGAGACCCAGCCTGAACCAGCAGTAGCCAAAGCGGGAGGCCGAAAAGCACTACTTGCTGGGGGTTAGCAGGGAACAAATGAACATTATATAGGGATAGTATAGGCATTCAATTCCCTTATTCCCTGCTAAGCACAAGTAACTTAAAGTTGGAGCTGTATCCGAAACCCGACACCCAAAACTTTTGTGTTTTTCAATTAGAGAAGGCGTTCTTTCTTACTTGCAACGGCAGGCCTGGACAACGACAAGTTTGAGTACGAGCCCTCCCTGAACCTTGCCGTGGAGTCAGGGTAAGAGGGTCATGTTGGAGTCTGATATTCAAGTCTGGGATGGAGGCGTCAACTTGCTTGCTGTTATAGAACTTGGACCAAGTCACCATACTCTGGTCGCATAGTAAATAGTCGGACTTCCTTATTACAGTAACTTAATGTAAGTTCCTTACGCAGCACTGTATAATCCTATATAACCCCTGTATAACCTTATATAACCCCCTACATAAGGGGATGGCGGAGGATTTGGGCCAAACTTCTCTCAGCCTCCCAGGGGTTATACAGGGCTTATATCAAGGTTATATAGGGGTTATATGAAGGTTATACAGGGGTTGTACGAAGGTTGTATAGGGGTCATGTCCTCAACGCCACCAGGCCTCTCACGCAACATCCCCACGTCTCCATGGTCCGAGGGCAGTAATCAACAGCAGATGCCCTGCCTGCTGGGTTTGCAGTCCACAAGCGTCTGCCAGAAGGAAGAGGTAAGGTGATATGAGCTATAGTCTAAACTCCTTAAAGGGGGTTATATAGGGGATTATATAGGGGAGTAGTTTCGGGGTTATTAAGGGGGATGCTAGGAGTTTAGACTATAGCTCATGTAGGGATTATACAGGCGTATAGTGGATTATATAGGACTTATAGCAAGGAAGTAAAATGTGTTGTTCAAAGCCTTCAACTGTCACGTCCTAACAAAGAGCTTCAGCGACACTTCAGACCCCATATTGTGCAAGGTAGAGTGCAATTCGGGAAGTAAGCTAAAATTACTGTGCTCAGGCCCTGGGCTGGAGACAGCACAGCGACGAGAGAAGACCAGCCCCTAATGGTAAAACCTAGAACCTATGGAAGGTCTGGCTGCAGGACCACCAACAAGACCACCATAGTTTGCCTGGAGATGGGTGTAGCCCGAAGCCCTCTAGTCCCCCTTAACCCTGAACGCTAAGCCCTTTCCTACTGCCCAACCCCAGTTTTTCTTGTCCAGTCCCGTTTCGTAAAGCGTTGTCGAAGACACATGGTAAGAGCATATTTGCATGTTCTGGCAGGCTTTGCATTCTGGAGCGCCAACCCTAAACCCTAAGCCCTAAACCCTATGGCTCCAAGCCCGTAGCCCTAGCACAGAGTTTGACCAGAGTTGACAATGAGGAACGCCTTCGACCGCGGTTGGGTGACCAACTGCATCAACTTCTGGTGCGTGGGGGCCTCGTGGTCACTTTGTTCAGGGTTTAGTGTTTAGGGCTTAGACCCCAAACCCTAAACCCCAAACCCCAAACCCTTTTGGTTTAGGGTTAGGATCCTTTATGCAAGGGAGAATGAGGATAAAATACAGACCGGTAGCCGTGAAGAAGAGGCCCAAGATGAGTCGATTGCCACCATACGACGCGAACCCTTTGCTCAAAGCACGGGTTACCTTGCTGGTGATTAGTAGGGAATGAGGGAACCCTAAACCCTTTTAGATCAAAGCTTCAGGGCTTTTTTAGGACCACGGCTTGCTGCAAAAGACCTGGCGTGCTGTTCTGAGCTTTCCCCTTCAAAGTTGCAAGCGTCCCAAAGATCCTAGGGTTTAGGGTTTAAGGTTTAGAGCTTGGGGTTTAGGATTCAGTGCTCATCACCAAACAGGAGCTACCGAAACAGGAATTTCTTCCAAGTGGTAGCTACATCCTGAATTGGCTTCCCCAAAGAAGCAACCAGTTTTGAGCAACACCCAATGCCTAAACCTGAGTCCCGAAACCCTGAATCCTAAAACCCCAAACCCCAAAACCTTAAAGCCCCAAACTCTAACCCCAAACTCCCCTTTTGTGGAAGCCCTACAATGGTTTTTTATTGGAAAGTTCGTTATTCTCACATGGAAGCCCAAACGGGAATATGAAAGTAGGTTTTTCAATGCTAGCCTAAGCGCTAAACCCGAAACCCCCAATACGGAACCGGTGAAGTTGTTTAAGAGTTTTGCAGCCCCAGATGGCGCGGTGGCCTTCCAGCCAGCTGGGTGAGTTCTGAATGGGCTGAGGCAGTAGCAATGATGGCAGGGCTTTGTACTCGGGGTCTAGGATTTAGGGTTGATGGCTTAGGAAGAGGTTTTGTGCGCTATGTAGGAAATTATTCAAGTAGGTGCGGAGGTTGGGTCCATGGCATAGTGGTAGTCGTAGTACAACTCTAGATCCCAAATCCCCAAATCCTTAAAATCCTTAAACCCAACACCCTAAACACTAAAATCCCTAAAACCTAAACTGTGAACACTGCACCCCTAAAACCCGTAAACCCTAACCGCCATGCTTGGCACGGGGTGCCCCCTTTCGAGTTGGTTCTCCTGATGACGCGCGTATGCAGGGCTTCTTGGTTGCCAGATGCGCTTCAAGGTTTAGGGTTTAAGGTCTATGGGCTTAGGATTTAAGGTTTAGTGTTTACGGCTCAGGGCTTAAGTTCGCAAAAAACCTACCTAGAATCCGCCAACCGCAAATCTCACCATCATCCCTGTGTCCATGCCACTTTCCGTGTTCTATTATCCATTTGATTCACGCTATTGGGATAATCCAAAACCCCCGCCCTACCCCCCATATCATCACCCTAAATCCTAGGGCCTCCACTTACCCTAGACCCTGAACCTTAAACCCTAGATCCTAAACCCCAAGCCGAAACGCGAAACCCCAAACTGCAGCCCCTACCGCTCGACCCTGAGCTCGTACCATTTTTGGGTCCCTATAATAAGGCTGAGCATCTTGTGGGGTTTATATTGGGGTCTCCCCATTTAGGGAAGCTACCATATGATAAAGCTATTATGATGGGGGCTTATAGAGGGATGAGTACAGGGACCTTTATGTGGGGTAACAGGCTGACTCAAGTTGTAGCAAGGAGGAATGGGGGAGGGAATGTAGTTCTAATCTGGGATTGTATAAGTATTATCGCAGCACTCCCCCACTCACCCTTAAGCTGAAGTGCTCAAAAATGAGCCCACGCGTTCTGCTGATCGATTTAGCCTGCCGCTGCTTCGGTTCCAAAAAGGTTATTGGGGTCGCTCTATAAGGGAAACTACCAAAAAATCGCTCGTATGATGGGGATGTATATAGGCATTGGTACAGGGACTATTGTTTGGGGTGATAGGGTAAAGTTCCTCTGCCCTGACAGTGGCGGTCGGTTTAGGGTTTAGGCTTCAGGGTTCTGGTCTTGACGGTTTAGGATTCCGCTGCGCTTCGCATACCCTCAGCCCCTTCTAGGGTTTATGATTTTGGGGTTTAAGCTTGGGTTGTTAGCATGCTCAGCTGCTGCTGATGATGATGATGACGATGATGTATTATGATGACTGTTACCAAAACTGCTACTGCTACTACGCTAGCCTACCGCAATTTGTGGCATCATGTTCATCATCATCATCATCAGCACATTTTAAAAGTTGAGGGTGGGCAGGGATGTTGGAGTGGTTCTGGCATTTCGTTTTGTTCCTTCTTCTTCGCGCTATCCTCATGTTTAAGAATGTTTAAGAATTATACGGCATACTTAAACACTCTTCAGGGCACCATGGCAGTCTAGATGGTGCGGAAGGCCTCCTGTTGGTCTCCAAGTGCTCGATTCAGCCCCATGCAAACTGTCAAGCCTACTAATGAGACACACCGTACGAGATAGTAAGTCGTGGAATGAGAATGAGTACGACAGTCAGTAGACGCATGCCTATCATAGGAGCCGTACTATCACTTAAAGCAGTATGGTCATAGCACCACAAAGGCAGCAGACATGGAATGCAGTCACAACAATAGCAGAGATCATTATCAGCAAGGTCATAGCATCAGAAATAGCTTGGAAATCATGTGTCACCATTGATGCGATCCTTACAGACACCGCCGTTTCCAGACGTCTTCCCCTTAAGGGAAGACCTTAACTGAAGCGCAATGGCCGCCGAGTCATCCGTGGAGCGCAAGCACCGCGGAGTGCTGCTGCCGGGCATGGGGCCGAAGGGGAAGGAGTTCATCAGAGTAGTATTTTATTTGGGGATACTATGGTACCCACTATAGAGTAAGATTATTTGCTCCTTTTGGGGTATAGTATTTTATATACGGAATATAATCTTACTAGGTTCAACCACCAAAAAAATACTACTCATCAGTGGGCTGGATAGGAAAATCGAAGCTGTAACCGTATTTAAGGTGAAGGGTTTGAGGGGGGGTGCAGGGCCTTTTTAGGCTCTCAGGAGTTCATTTGTTTTGGCGTTTCGGGGATTGGCTAGCCGTTTTTTGATTATTGAGGTTTTGGGCCTTCAGGTCTAGGGTTTACCGTTTGTTTTCTTGGGGGGACTGAACGGTATCCCTTCAATCTACATTCCCCGCCACAAGGATAAACCACCACTCTAACACCCGATTGTATTGTGGAGGATAATGGGATAAGCAACTCTTAGGGGCGTGGGAGCTTTTGATTATTTGGGGGTAAACTCTAACCCTGTATCACCCATATATCCTCTTTCAAGGGGGAGGGGAGAATCGGATTATTGTCGTCTTGGGGCGCGTGGCTTGTGTTCCGTGCCCTCAAGCGGCACACTGCAGTCTCATCTTCCTTCATGAAGGTTTCGGCGTTAGGGTTTGGGGCCACTCGTCTTCACCTCTTACTACCCCCGCCTTGGCTCCCCCCGAATTAGCCTTGACCATTCTTGAGCAACCCTAACTAGTGGGAACTTAGAGGGTGGTATGGGAACCCATAATCCATAGAATGAATCTGCTGGGCCTATTGAATCTGGGGTATTGCGTACAGTATGGAGGTCGAGAGCATTTCTGCAACCGAGATATGTAACTTCGATTCAAAGATCCCAATGAAGGTTCTCACTCTCACAATTTTGACAAGCCCTGGAGCAGCAGGGGATGGGTAGGATTAGTCGGGTGGCGGTTCGGGAACAACAGTTAAGTTTCTATGATAGGCGTCATATCGTTTGCTACATAGCCGTATTCCAGTAGCTTAACTCCCCGCTTAACGCCAGTTTCCATTTCCTCTTCCGTTTTTTTATTCCATTTGATTCTCCATGATGGTAATTCAACCCTAAAGCCCTGGACCCAACACACCCGATATACACCCTCTAAAACCCCGAGAAGCTCTCCTTTATCAGCTTTTGGGAATCTTGGCCATGCTTCAACTTTCCGGGCTCCAGAATGAGAAGGTGCTCAGAAATTGCACAATAATTTCAGAGATAGAGAGAGAGAGAGAGAGCACCGTGCAAACTTTTATGAATCTTCGTGTTCCTCGTACTCCTTCCAACAAAATGTGAGAGCATCTCATATGACTCGTCCAAGCCTAAATCCCTAAACCCTAGTCCCCAAACCTTCTGCAAGGATCCTGTAGCTCAAATAGTTGATATGCTACCGAAGCTTTACACTTTCTGGCGGTTAGTGGCAGATGGAGGTTAAAAAAGACTTTTGAATTTTTATTATCCTTAATCAAACCGAAAAAATCAATCTTCAGAGAGCCCACAGGCCTACCCTGGTACCGGGTTCAGGGCTTAGGGTTTCGAGCTTGATAGGGAATGAGGGAACAGCAAAGACAATGGACAACAATCATATTATTGAGGATGACATAGGGACTTCTTGAGGCAGTTTTCCCCGATTTCCTCGAACACCCTGAAGCCTAAACCCTAACGCGTTAACTCCCACAAAGTGCAAGGTCTTACCCTGGTCGCTGTCTTGGTCTTGGCTTTCCGCTCCCTGCCCACTCAAGGAGGCGGACTTCAATCTTCTTTATTGTTGTCATTACAAATCAAGCAAAAGCTTCGGTAACCTAAATCTCGCAAGTTCTGGCATTCTAGTATACTTGCGTCATGCAAGGCTTGGGTATCAACAATAGTGTTTACCTAGACCTTGAGTGCCCTTTTGTTTTTGCGGTTCGTCCTAGGACTCTTGTAGGTATTACGATCATCTCTAATTCAACAGGGGTAGGAGGATCAGCCCGTCCGCAGCTCACTTGACCACAGGTCGACTCTAAGACCATGATATTCATGGCCCCAAAAGAGGCCCCAAAGCAACGCACTTGGCCCTGCCCGACACTGTTTGTGGTTTGTTTCCTTGCGGTAGTATACGGAATAGATTTGAGTTAGACAGGGCTACTATAGGGATCAATTCCTCCAATTACTTTTGCACAAGTACATGCCTACATACATATATACATATACCACACACATACCTTAGATCCTACACCCGAAAGTGTCTTCAGCATAGAATACGTCCTGTGTTGGAAGGTGACAGCGGGACCTTTGTTCCTGGTCCCACTGGCTTAAATGCGGAGCCCCTCGGCCTCGGAAGTTACTTGGGATTCTGATATTGTGTGTAATTGTATATATATATATATATGTATGTGTGTGTGTATGTGTAGAGGTGATATAGGGTTTAGGGTTCAGGATCTAGGGTTTAGGGCTTGGGGTTCTATTTGCTTTTCGTTTTCTGGTTGTGGATGTTACCCCGAATAATGGAGACTCAAAGTGAAAGCAGCAGAACATGGCATGGAGTCTGGGGTTCTATATGGGTTGCAATTAACACCCTATAGTCTCTTACCCTTACTGGTTACACCAGTTTTTTGTAATATATTTACGTAGGGGAACAAGGCTGTGGGGTTTAAGGTTTAGGAAGGTTAGCCGAGTGGCTTTGGGGACCAAGAGGGGAATCAGAGATACGACTACTTCAGCTCGGCTGCAGCTACATGTTACCCTTTGCAGAGATTCTGAAGATTCAGGCTGCTGGCAAGATGTCTGTGGATGAGATACCAGGTGTCGTGTCACCGGTACTAGATTCAAAGATTGTGGTTACAGGGTTTAGGGTTCCGGCCTCGGGGCGCCAAGCTTGTTTCATGTGGCATGGACCTGTTCAAGGTTCCATTTCCCAGTGGCAGTACTTCTGTCAATTTTGCAGAGCCTTCCAGCCCTGTCAACCTCCATGGTCCACAAATCCAAGAGAGTTCTATGCCGCTGTGAGCTGGGCACCCTGATTGTTGCGCATCCTCAGCCTAGACCCTAAATCCTAAACCCCCAAACCCTG